TAAAATATGTTGATAGATAATTTTCTAAAACCCTCGAATTGTGCACGTCATACCCATTATTGTATTGTATTAAACGATTATATTATAATAATAAAAAAACGTCTACGAAAACTGCGTATAATTTTAATTTCGATAGGTGACGTGGAAACGCAATAATAGCTATAAATTCTGAAGCCTCGTGCTATTATAGGGTGTATTGAAATGCGGCGACGGCGGCGTACGTTCAACAGTGGCCACACCGCGTGTTTAATTTAATAACACAATGGTGACAACAGCGTATTATTATTTATTATTGCAATGTACATAGGTCGGAGTACGCCCAACGTTTCGTTTTTTTTTTTTTTTTACAAGATGCCCACAATACTACTCGAAAATGGCACTCGGGAGCGATTCGGCATGCCATGCAGCACCGGTGTCAGGTGTATGAGGGACGAATAATAAAAATGGAAAAAAAAAATGTCAATATATCTGTACACGGAAATAAAAGAAATTTCGCCAATATGATAACCGATCATTGGTCACGGGAGTGTGTGCGGGCTCTCGAGCGAGGCGGCGGCAGCTGACGACATCTCCGCGGAATCTTTGTGGACGTCTCCTGCAAAGGGTCCGCCTCTAATGACCGTGCACACACGTCGAATGTGCTCTCGTACCGAGGGCTCTCCAAGTTCCACAGCACCGTGTAATTTTTCCTTTGCGCCGAAAACTCGTTTGGAAACGATATAATAATGAAAATAATCGAACGGCGGCCGATCGTGGCGAATCGACCGAGCGGATTCCATAGACGCGCTTCACACTCGAGCCCGTGACATTTTATTATATTTATAAGGCTTACAATGGCCCGCTGTACCGTATAGGTAGGTAGAGGTCTACAAGAATAAAACGCACTTATATACATCTGCAGTGGACGCACGCTGCAATAGTACCTATATAGAGTATATAGACGCCCTGGTGCCAATATAGTTCATATAGGTATTATGCAGCTCATAATGTATTATTGCACCGTATGTACCCCCAAAGTCTTCAATTTCATGGTGGGGGGTGGGTCGGTGAAATTTACTTGTAACGTTATCATAACCGTCGGCATCATCGTCTTTGGATCTCTAATATTATAGACCATATTATTGTAATAATATTTATTTATTTTATTGATTTACGCCGTGACAGGCATTAATTAAAGTACAATATAATTTGTTGGTAAAATTAAATATAACAAAAACAGTTGAATAATATAGTAATTAGTAATAAAGAGAAAAAACACTATAATATAATATGTGAGATAAATATCTGGTAAAAAATGTGAAAGACTACTCTGAGTTGAGGCTGCGTATAATTCTGTGGAGTGTGTGGTTGAATCCATAGGAAGTGCGGTGGTACGGTAATTGAAAAAGTGAATGATTTCTAGTAGAGGAGACGGAACACGGAACGAGATAGAAGGGATTCGAAGATTAGAGGAAATGAGTGAGTATAATCATGTGTGAGATGTTTAGTTTTTAGTTTGAAGGCAGGATAGGATAAGAATCTGTTTTGTACTCGCTCTAGAATTAGTTCATCGATATGGGTGACATATCACTCTATATTCTAAAACGGAACGAACTAAGGAGAAATACAGTATATATACGGAGACAAGAGCTAGATGTAAAGTTGGCGGTATTACGTTTAACAAATCCTAATATTTTGAGTGCTCTACCGACTATAATATTGATATGGTAGTCAAAATAGATCGTGGGCGTTGGCTAGATACCTAGGTCTTTAATAGGAAATATACGATTAAGAAGAGAACCGCCATTAAGAAAGTATTTAGGACATAATATTTGGTACTCGTTTACAGAGCGACAAAACGTCCCGTACGAACCCGATCAAAACGTTGACAGTTATAATATAATAACTTAACGTTTACAATAATACAAATTGTTTTTTTCAATATTTTTTTTATATTTCATAGTTTGATTTTTTTTTTTTTTTTTGAACGGCCGACAATCAGTATTCCGGTAGTAAATCATAACGTCGTAGATCCCGTCGGCCGATAACGGGACACGCTCGCGTAACGCTATATAATATTAAAATACTATTAAATACTCGTATATACATATAGGTACCTGAACTCCCCCCCCCCGCTGCCCAGTAAAACTGTATAATATTCCGACACGGCGGCGTATTTCCATCGCGATCACGAGCGTTTCACATAGACTACCGCGGAAATCCATCAGAGAGATTTTAGACGGAATCGTAATAATAATTATTTATTATAATATGCGTATACCATGCAGAATACTGTCGTTCCATAAGAAGACTAGTTGCGTATTCTATTATACCTACGAGCCTAATAGTATGTATTTCTGTTGATCTGTAATCCGTTATATAAGTATAATAATATTATAATCACTTGTGGCCTGCAAACGAGCACACAGCGACGTTCGACGTATCTAATCATACATCGTAAGTGGTGTGAGACTGTATAATATTATAGTGTACGAGTATGACAATATCTATAGAATTATGAAAAATTTACAGATACCATGTCTATACCATGGTGCGTTCCATAAGAAAGGCGCATTCATATAGCTATACGAGTGTCGGGCGAAGCCGTGTTAACTATGGTCACAACTGGTAACCGTATTGGTTTAAAAGTAGAGCCGTTCTTGGTATGTTCTGTTGCAATTATACATGATACAAAAAAAGTTATGTCCACGCTATTGGATGGACGTGACACACAGCGTATAGCTGTGAATCCGGCTTGAGGCGCCGTGTGTCGAAGAACACGAATTAAAAACCTCAGAGTCATGATAATTATTAGATTTCGACGGCGACGAAAAACGGCGAGTAGCAGGTGTTCCTATATCGTACCAATCAGTTACCAGTTACCGTATACAGGGTATACATATACTGACAGAGAGGAGTGACGACATTAGTGCGTTTAAAACATATACGGCGGTTATCGAGACTTGGCAACGACGTTGTCCGAAATTCTCTCATTATTATTACTGTACTAAAGGCATTAACGTATATAATATTATTATATGATTTCTAATATAATGTGAGCTGCAGGTAAACCTTCGGTTTAATGGTCGTTTTCGGGCCAGCACCAAGTCCCCCCGTGTACGATTATAATATTATATAGTATATTATAACCTCCTCGAAACACAACGCATATGCACAGTATATTATGTGGCGATCGCTGTATTCTCGTGATAATATAATAAAATATTATAAATGTTGTAGATCCCGTCGGCCGATAACGGAACACACGCGTTTTAATTACGCGTAATTATTGCGCCCCGCCGGCTGCCGAGTGAAGTACAAGTCACAATGTGGACCGAGGTCGGATGATGTTCCTCCACCCGAACGAATGCACCTACACAATATTACACAAGTATAATACCCGTACATAATACACATGATATTATATGTATAGGTACATTGCAATACTGCGGTATATGCGTACCGATTATCGATATACCGCGGTCAGGAACCGGTCAGGGACGGAGAGGAATCGGACGTGGCCCCAGGACGGATCTAAATATCGTATACAGGGTGCTCGGGACAGCGAGATAGGTTCGACACAATCATATCGCGTATACATATTGCTATAGTTTTGATTTTGTTCACCAAGGAAGCGATGCGAGTTTGCGCCGAACAGTCGTAATAGTTTTATAAAATTATGGATTATTATTATTATATATGAACTTAACGTAACTTTGTCAAATCATATCATTCACGCATGTACCTATCATATGTGTACAAAATTATAATTAGGACTGGGATTTCGATGCACTTTTCATTTTTTTTTTTTCAGAGATTGCTGTACGATATGCTCACCTGGTCACAAATCCGTAACATGTACTATTGAATGAGAATAAGAAAATTTATTTTGCATTTTTTGACAATTTTTGATTTTAACGTCATTTTCTTCATTTTTTAGGGCATTAAAAGGTTTTCAGGGAATTATTGGAGTTTTGGGTCCAAAATTTAAACTTGAAATTTTATTTTAAGATTTCACACGCTAAGTCGCTAACGCTAGTTTTATATACATTTATATATTATTTTAACTATTAAAATAGTTTAAAAAAATATAAGGAAATTGTTGTTTTTTTCAGATTAAAATAAATCCAAGTTGAAGTTTAGCATGTGGAAAAATTATTTCAATCACTTTTTTATCACTCATATTTTACAATTCATTAAAAATAAAAACAATATACCTACAATTTTTTAGTGGATTATTTAGAATTCTTAGGGCATATTAAAGCATTTTTTAGGGGTTTATAGGGCATTTCATTCCCAGCCCCAATTATACTAAATATAATGTGCATTGCGCGTACTACTATATATTGTATCATAGTCTGTACATCATGAGTAGGGCTCGGATTTATATGTAAATACATATTTTTACTGTGACTTGATAAATTAATTTAGGTGAGTGATAAATTCGTTTCAAGGGATTTCCATTGTAATGAACTATATTTTATTTTACATATTTTGTCATAAGTACATATTTTTACATTATACCTCAATAATTCCATTTTTCCCTACATATTTCGACAATTTACGATTTATTAATAGTTGTATACGATGTATACGATTTCCTATGTTTCAAAAAGTACTTAAACAAAATAATACCAATTATTGAACTAATCGACCGTAATCTACGGTCGATATAATATTATATTAGAAACTTTGAAAAAATAAAAGATGTTGTATCAACGTTGGATTCTACTTCAGCAATTTCTATTCAAAAAGCGAAACATTTATTAAATATAGATGATATTAAAAATAATTTAATTTATATATCTGTTAATTTTTGATTTTTAGAAGATACAATATAACAACTAGAAACAAGAAAAATGACTTTAGTTCAAAGTTTAGGACTTATAGAAGAAGCTGAATAATGCATGGAACAAGTATAAGAACCCCTGGGAGTTGCAGTAAAAGAAAAAATGCACAGCGTATTACATAAAAATCCTGGTTTAGACTGCCTAAAATTAATTAGAGATACACATTGCGAAATGAATGGGGTAATATTTCCGGCTGAACTCACTGCTTTGGACATTGCAAATATGAAATTTGCACCCATTACCTCGATGGAAGTCGAGCGCTCCTTCAGTCGGTACAAATCTGTGTTACGACCAAATCTTAGATCATTTCACTTTGAAAATTTGAGCATGTACCTATGTGGTATCTCATTGCTTTCAAGACCAAGATAATCAAAATGAATAATGAATAATAGTAGTAAAATAAGTAAATTAGTTAATAATGTCATTTATAAAGCAATTTTTTATATTTTTTTTTGTAATTTTTTTGTATTCCATATTTTCATTTTTTAATCACATATAAAGTGATTTATTATTACATATATATTTACATATTTTGGTTTTTTTAATACATATAAATCCGAGCCCTAATCATGAGCTATTGTTGTCAGTGGACAGTCGTATCTATACCGTATTCAGTATATTCGCATGCAAACGAAATGATTACAAATTAAATACAAATCATATTATCATGATATTAATATAATCGTGGAAAACGTAACGCTTAATAGTATAACGCATAAAATATGATGTCGTGTACCGTTAAACGTTTAGTTATATTATACAGAGACGCACACGTATAGATAATATTATGGGCGCAGGTACTCTGCTCGTACTGGGCAGGTATACCTATGTATAATAATATTAATATAATATAGTGACTCGGAGAGTTTGTATATTATACAAGTTTGATTGCGATCGTCGTTATGATGTTATGAAGACATGAAGTCGATTAATTATGGAAGAATGTGGACGGTACCTATATGGTCGAGTGTTGAGAAACGCATAAATGTAGAGTATATATTTTTAGAGAACGTTGTCGAATCGTATACATACGCCGAAAACAACAACACATATATACATAAAAATGATAGGTATTATCATTATTATTATATATACGTAGGTACGGGTATATCTAAATATGTATAAAACGCGTATCAGTGTGTTAACGTATTTAATGCCTATAATTATTTAAAAATACAAGGAGAACCTCCGGTGAAATTTCCGTATACGTAATTGGAGGATCTACACGATGAAGAAAACTCGTCTTTGACAGTTTTATGCAAATCGTACATAATACAACAGCAGATACGGCTAATGATAAGATGATGTTCGTCTTCGTAGTGTGTAGTGTATTAATTCTTCGATAATGCGAGGTGCATATTATTATTATTATATGACGGTGGACAGGGTGGGGGGGGGTGAGGAGGAATTATGACGTTTTGAAATACTCGCCGTTATGTGGCGTTTACGAGTGACCGTGCTATAAAAAAAAATAAAAATATTAATTCCGTTGCACCTAATATGTGGTAGGTATATATAAAAAAAATAACCATGATGCCTATGTATCGTTTATATTTTAGCTATAATAAAAATACTTACGTATATTACATTTTTAAGCTTTTTGACCGGATAAATAATTTTTTATTGACATTTATAGAAAAAAAAAATGTAATTATTCAAATACAATCAAAGTGAGGACGATATAACCGAACATTTAAATACATTTTCATTTTTTTCTCCAATTATTTTTAAAAGCACTGAGCATTTTCAATTACGACCTCCTAAAAGTACCAACTAGATCCAATTTGCTTCCATGAACTGGGCATCGAAGATTATGTTCAGAACATTTTTCTACCAGAAAAGTTACAAACATTTTAAAATACCTCAAATAAACGTCTGAAATTATTAGACTGGACAAAATAAAAATCAAATTGTAACTAATTTTCAAGCCCCCCCCTCCAATTGAAAAATCCTGCTGAAGCCACTGTACTAGACGATTGGTATACTTTGGTATAGGTACCTAGTATGATGGAAACATATAAATATCCTGCACTATTATAATAGCGTATATTCGACTAGTTGGTTGTAGAATATCGTCGGCCCAAGTCGCGTAAGTCCAAAATTACATTTTTTTTCAAGATAGCAATAACATTTCGTCGGCATAGTTCCATAATTCGCATCATAGGGTTTGCAAAGGGCGTATCTCCATCTTCTTTATATCATGGAAGTACGACTATTTCTGGTGTCTTAAAATCATTACATCGGAGATACGATGATTTCTAATTACCTATCAATTTCGAGGAGGATAAAATTATACGATTTCAGTTACGACCTTATCATACGACGAGGTTTTTTTTTCTTAATTTTAATCACCAATAATCGATATACGACGAGGAGCGAAGACAATTATTCCAAGGTTAGCCGATTCCTATATATGATCACCCAGCTGAAATACTCAACCCTGCAGAACCCAACAACGTGTCCAAGCTCGTACAGTTCCTACCAGAAACTCACGTTATAAATAAATTGTAAATTGCATCTATGGTATAGGTAGGTACTCGAAATTCAAATGTATTGTTTTTCATTATTTGTCATATGAAAAGTACACTTTTATGCGTAATACTCCGTCCAATGGCTACAGACAACGCAGACAGTAAAAAAAAAAAAAAAATAGAATATACACGTCGTATAGGGTGTGTACCAGCTACATTATAATAATACTCTCACATTTATCATTAAAACGACGTTTAGCAAAACTCGGTTATACGTACCTATATATATCATATACCTATATAATTGTGTGCGGCACGCTCCGTCCAATACCAGCTATATCGGTCGTATTATTTTTCTACAACCCTATCCCCGTGTAGTGTACCCATACACTCGCTATTTAATTAACCGACTATTGTCGGTTCACCAATATAATATAATAACGGGGCCGCTCGCGAGGGTTGGATAAAGAAAATAATATTTGTAACATCGCGAGAGCGCACACTCTCGCCCGAACCGGATCTACAGCCGCTGCAGGGCCACATGCACGTAATATATAATTCAATGTGTGTATAGGCCTTTATAGGGGTAGTGTGCCATGTAATAATAATAATAATAATGATGATATGTATGCAGCAGCAATGTGCGTCGAGGGGGTCCTGCCGGGGACACAATGGCGGAATATAAAAATATCCCTGCAACTCACACCACCGCCGCCACCACCACCGACGTCCGAGTTCTCTTCAATAATGATAATAATTTATATAATATATAGGTAGGTAGGTATGTATGGTTGGTATAGGTACAGACGTACAAGAACGCTCGTTTGTATACAATAATATTATAATATATATACGGCGATAAATTTTTGTTTGTGGGTAAAAAATGTCAAAAGTACAATCGCTATTGATTGTATTTACTTACCTACCAACGAATCGCGCATACATACAAGACGATGTTATTGTATTATAATATGTATTATAACTGATATTAGACGTTATTTATGGCTTTTATGGAATCTGCTATATAATGTGATCGGTCGGTACTCGATTCTATGCACCTCTGCACATTTTAATCTGAAAACTCATTTAAACGGCTGCAGAGTGCAGTTATAGTCGATGTAATACAACGCAGTACGTACCTATACAGTTAAAGTTTCTAATTAAATCAAATTTCCATAGTAACTACACATAGATAGTATAAGTAATTTGTTTAAGACCTTTCCAGTGATACTGCACTTGTTTTCTCTAATACGTAAGCCAACCACGATGGAATTTAGAATAAGAACATAATGTTATTTTGTTTGATTTTGATGTGACTATAATAATTATAGTTGTTACAAAAGTACATTTTTGGAAACAATCTTTTTTTTGTCCATAGCAGAATGTTTTCGAATCAAACATATTACATAATGAAGAAATTTAGAATTTTTTTTTCTCTCGTCTAAAATGTAATCGATCGTTATTGACACTATGTTCGTTGAATACTGTACGTAGAGTATTTTTTGATTTATACATTCAACAGTTAGGTAGGAATATAACACATGAAATTATACCACACTTTAAAATTAGTGAAAACCCAGAAAAATTATATGGATGAAAAAAAATAGTTTTCTGATGTATTAAAATATATTTCGTACTATAATACCAACTAGTGATTCAAAATCATAAAAACTGAGTGGATTAGAAATAACCGGTAACACGATAGAGAACGTGGTATGCCGACATAATCTAGGGAAATAAAACTTTACACTTGTTTATAATGTTATACCTATATTATAATAGTATTATGCTGCAGAACCTATATAGATCATTAGTATGTATATACTGGAAAGTCACAAAAAAATACTAAAATATATTTTGCACTATACATATCCTGAACTATACATAGGGAGGGTTGTTACTGACTTTCCAATTAATTAACGGGCTGCATGCGGCATATTATTATACGTATATATACATCTGGTCCAGGTCCTATGTATATATTACAACAGTCGATGATCTAAATGTTCGGCGCTCGTTTATTGTAATATATTATGATATTATAATGTACGGTTTTAAAAAACACAAACGGACAATTCGGCATAATTCGTAGACCTATCAGTATAATATAACAATAACACAATATATATGTACAATACGTTTGATGCTATTGAAATACAATACGCTGCATAATAACATACCTACCTAATATATGTTTGAATATTATTCACTATATAGGTAACCGCGGTTTGTCCGGTCACCGTGGTACGTGGACTACAAAATATATATACGACACAACGCGACTATAATTAGGTAGATAATTGTGTACTGTAATATATATATAATACGTAGACGACTTATTTACCTAAGCATTTCGACACGCAAACGTTAAACACACAATTTTATGAGTGTCTGTCGGCATAAAGTTTTGTCGAATACGCGTTCAACGAGCGGGTACCTACATAATAATATAATATTTGAATACGGGTAACTGCTGCAGCACACTAATGAGGTTGTTAAAAAAAAAAATTGTAGAAATCTTGATTAGACGACAAACCCGCTTGGAGAATATTATTACCTATAGAAATACGCGCGATATATAATATATAATAATAATATGTTCTATACTCGCTGCGACGGTAGGGTCGCGTCACACTATCGCGGTTGCACCGCGCGGTTGGAACCGCGTTATATTTGACGCGCGGTTGGTTACTATCACACTACGCGGTAAAACGCGATCATTTGCACATTTTTTGGTCATCAGAATAGATGTGTTGTGTTTAGTATAGCTGAATATGTGATTTGCTGATCACTGTTCAACATTCGTTTTAAAATTTAAAAAATACAAGTAACTTAAACACTTAATTTTAAAACGTTAATTTAATATCGATTTTCCTAAAAAAGGTTCTCAAGTAAGTATTTGAATTACTTTAATTAGTATCGAAAATATATAATATGTGGAAAATCATTTTAATATATTATGAATAGTTAATTTTAAATATATTTCTAATGTCTATAATTATTTACTTAGCCCTAACTAACCCTTATTAATCTTTAAAAATTAAATATACTATATTAAATTTTTTATTTGCGTGTGTTTAGGATGGATTATAACTATTACATGAATGCTTTGAAAGTTATAGCAGTGGCAGAATCGTTTGGATATTTAAATCCTCCTAGAAGAGATAGAGAATTTTGGATTCATCCTTTTAATAAAAGTAGAGAGGAAAAAGCACGCTTCATTAATTTTTATGCAGACATCAGACAATACCCACTCAAATTTTTTGAGTACTATAGAATGTCGATAACTTCATTCGATGAACTTTTGGAACAGGTGCGTCCACATATTACGAAAAAAGTTACAACATTCCGATATCCAGTTTCAGCGGAGGAAAGACTGACTCTTACAATAAGGTAAAGGTAAAATAAAATATAAAAATAAAAATAATAAAATTGAAGGTATGAATTATTACTATACATTTTAAAATTGTATGATTATATAAGGTTAAAAAATGAATAGTTTATTGTATAGTTAAAAATGAAGATAAAATTAAAGATTTTACCTACATTAAATATTAAAAATATTCGTATGAATTATTATTATACATTTTAACATTTTAGAAACGTAATACTAAAAAACGAATAATTTATAGTATAATTAAAAAAAAAAAAAAAATAAAAGATTATACCTAAATTAAAAAATAAAAATATTCATATGAATAATTATTAGTATACTAAATTAACGTGAATTTTCCCTGAATGATGAGTTAGATGTTTGTGGAATATCAATATCAATTTGATTATTCGGAATAAATTGTTGATGATATGTATTGGAAGGAGACTGATAAGTTGGGAGAAGTGAAGAATTATGTATTTGTGCCATTTGAGGAAGACCTGCAGTTTGAAAGTTCGGGAGAGAGTTTTGGTTGTAAAAAGAATTTTGAAAATTAGACATATAATCATTTTGATGAAGGGCGCGAGGTTCCACCACTGGAAGCTGAGGGGGATTCAAAATCCGTTTAACTAGTTGCGAAAATTCAATTTTAAAATCTAATTTTTGATTTTCATCCATTTTCTTAAACTCAGGTAGAAATGAAAGAAGAAACTGTTTATCAGGGTCATTTTCTTCAGGCTTTTGTAGAATTGGAGGGTTTTTCATCAAACTAAGTAGATTTGACTGGAAGCTTGTTATTCTTGTTTCTTTTTTATTTCTCTCCTGTGTTTGATTATCTTTATGACCTGCAGTATCATCTTTTTGAACTGGACAATCTTCTTCAAAACTTTCATCAACTATAATTGATGCGTCCATGGAACACATCGAAACACCATCATTTTCAACATTTCCAGTAGTTCTAAAATAAAACATTATATTATTAATAAATAATAACTATTATAACGCTATCTATTGTATAATGATTATTATAGAAAAATATGTATGTTATGCTACACACAATTATTTACTATTTGTCAGAGGGTCAACTTTATGTAGGTGTATTTTTGAATACACCTACATAATTTTAAGGAAAACGAGTTGGATATTCACTCGTAAATTAACGAATTTTCGTGGAAAATGTATGTAGGTATAGGCCTTAAAAAAAGTTAAAATTTTTTTTTGTAAGATTAAAATTCGTACCTATTGTAAATAAACATGTAGTTTTATACGACTAATATTTGATATAAACTTAAAATGTATAAACTACCTATATACAATATAAATACATACTTCCTTTTCTTGACGACGGGCTGCAGGAAAGATAGTATATCAAAGTATGCATACTTTTTTGTGTTTTTGGCTTCCGAACCACTTGCAGTTTTTCTAGTTTCATTAACTACTCTTGCGTAGTTATCTCTACAATGTTTCCATTTTTTCTTCAGTTCTTCAACTAATACAAATTATTATTAGTATATATTATTTAAATTTTAAAATCAAACATGATGTGACTGTGTGTGCATAACTATTTTATGATGGTGCAACCGCCAAATTTAAACACACATTTATATATGGTACGCGACACATTACAGCGTTTCCGCCGCGTTTGGCCGAAATCTGCCGCTACAAGTTTCGACATGTCGCGGTTTGGCAGCGGCGTGCCGCATAATATTTTTGACCGCGTAGAAGTAAAACCAATGGTTTTCAATTATGTACATCACATTACGGCGGTTACAACGCGCGTTTTTGCTGATAGAGTTTTTAAAATTTTAAAATTCTAAAAATGAGTGTTTTTGATACGGAGCTTTTCATCCTGAAAATTGAAAAAGAAGAGTGCTTATGGAAAACAAACTCCAAAGAGTACATGGTTGATCGCTATGTTAAAGCCAAAGCCTGGATAAACGTAGCATCAAGTATGTTTGATGAGTGGGAAAGCTTCAACAAGGAAGAACAAGAATTAAAAGGTAAGTTTAACTTTAAACTTTTTTATTACAAACTTAAAGTTTATGAAAATGTTTTTGCTACAACATAATTTGTAGCTAATATAGGTACATATTATTATAAAAAAAAAATGTTAAATACTAACTTGATTTTTTAATATTAGGTTATTTATTTATATTAAATAATAAAATAAATGAAAATTGTTTAAGAAACTACATTACCTACCTATACTAATGTATACGTAAAATAAAATTATAGTTTAATTACATCTTTATTATAAGGATATTATATTATATAGGTATAAATTTAAAAAAAAAATGATTCTACCTGTTATTAGGTATTATTCTGTTGTAACTTGCAAGTGTAGATTAATACTTAAATAGGTTTAAATACTTACAATACAATTATATAGATAATATATTATTTATTAAAATAATATATATAAAATATTATATAGGTAGTAATATAAAATAATAATCAAGTAAAACGATTTTGAAATGGAACTGACCCAGCGTTTACAAAATAATCTGCGAAATATTCTCGTACATCAATCCCTTCGTGACGAGCTCCGGAATTTCCATGGTTTTGAATATCGTCCAAATTATTAAAAAGTGTATCTTCAAATTGATATCCGTCTCTCCTTCGTACATAGTTATGTAAAATGCAGCATGCTTTCACGATACAGTCAGTAAAATCTGGTTCGACTAATATTGGGGTGTGTAAAACTCTCCATTTATTCGCTAGAATGCCAAAAGCACATTCCACATATCGCCTGGCCCTCGACAACCTATAGTTGAAAATTTTTCTTTTATCATTGAGTCCACGTCCTGGGTACGGTCTCAATAAATTTTTATGTAGGCCAAAAGCTTCATCTGCTACTATAACGAAGGGTTGCGGGGAATCTGTGGTATTAGGTAGGCACACCGGTTCGGGAAGATTTAGTTCTTCGGAATACAGTTTTCTACCAAACGGGCATTCTTTAAAAACGGTAGAATCACCCTCTCTACCATAAGCACCGACGTCGATGGTCGTAAAACAATATTCTGCATCTACTACACCCATTAAAATAATAGAGAAATATTTTTTATAATTAAAAAACATAGATCCCTCATTTCTTGGATTTATACATCTGATGTGTTTCCCATCTACTGCTCCAATACAATTTGGAAAGTTAGTCTTTTTGTAAAACTTATTTGCAATATCTATCCATTGCTCTTGGCTAGTTAGTTCTGGCATCTCTTTAGGCTGTAAGGTGGTCCATATAACTTTGCATGTTTCTTGGACGATTGTTCCAATTGTACTTCGTCCCAATAAGAACTCGTATTGCAACGCCACAAAATTTGATCCAGTTGATAAATATCTAAAATGTATATGTTTATTTTCAATTTATAAAAATAAGTATATGTTTTTTGTTTAAAATAATAATTTTTTTTTATGTTAATTATTATATAAATAATTAATTTCACAGGAAATTGAATTATGTTATTTATTAGCATAGTTTGATTTTTAACGGCAAAATTATATTTTTAATTTCACATTTTTTTTATAAATATAATAAATCCTTAGCTATAAAATTGTACATTTTATAAATTGTTAACTAAAAACAATCATTAAATTTTCGATCTTAAAAATGTTGTCGAAATTTGAATTTTAAATGCTTATAAAAAAAATCGTAACAATGTATTTTTAATATTTTTCAACTGCCATTGTACATTTGTATCAGTATATTAAGAGCTTTTTATTAAGTTTTCAAGCTTTTTTACCCAACGAATAATTTTTTATTGACATTTATTGAAAAAAAAAATTAAAAAATTAGAAACTGAATGTCCGTAAATAGCTCAAAACAAGTCAAAATATTTTGAAAATGATTCAGTGAAAATTGCATGTATCATTTCATGTATTTAACGATCGTTTGTTTTAGAGTAACGCCATAAACCAAAATCGATTTTGTCGAAAACCTTTTTTGTGTAAAAATTCCCATTTTTCCTTAAATTTAATCTTGTTTTTCCCGTTGTTTTTGAAAACTACTGGTATTTTTTAAATCTTAAATATTAAATAATTAAGATAACGATTTCATTTGTAATGTTGTAATTTAAAAATATTATTCGTGGGTACATGAAACTTCTCAAGCATATTATTATATAGGGTGATTCTTTTATCATAAAACACTCATTATTTGAAAAAGTGTAAATGTTTTACATAGCTTCAAGTCATTTACAGAACAACGTTATTATTACAAAATTATATTTTTAAATATTTTTTATACCATTATCGTGTATACAGATATAAAAAAACACATCATTGTACAGTCATCGCAACGCTAAAATAGTTTTCATAAAATAGTTATGCACACACAGTCACATCATGTTTGATTTTAAAATTTAAATAATATATACTAATAATAATTTGTATTAGTTGAAGAACTGAAGAAAAAATGGAAACATTGTAGAGATAACTACGCAAGAGTAGTTAATGAAACTAGAAAAACTGCAAGTGGTTCGGAAGCCAAAAACACAAAAAAGTATGCATACTTTGATATACTATCTTTCCTGCAGCCCGTCGTCAAGAAAAGGAAGTATGTATTTATATTGTATATAGGTAGTTTATACATTTTAAGTTTATATCAAATATTAGTCGTATAAAACTACATGTTTATTTACAATAGGTACGAATTTTAATCTTACAAAAAAAAATTTTAACTTTTTTTAAGGCCTATACCTACATACATTTTCCACGAAAATTCGTTAATTTACGAGTGAATATCCAACTCGTTTTCCTTAAAATTATGTAGGTGTATTCAAAAATACACCTACATAAAGTTGACCCTCTGACAAATAGTAAATAATTGTGTGTAGCATAACATACATATTTTTCTATAATAATCATTATACAATAGATAGCGTTATAATAGTTATTATTTATTAATAATATAATGTTTTATTTTAGAACTACTGGAAATGTTGAAAATGATGGTGTTTCGATGTGTTCCATGGACGCATCAATTATAGTTGATGAAAGTTTTGAAGAAGATTGTCCAGTTCAAAAAGATGATACTGCAGGTCATAAAGATAATCAAACACAGGAGAGAAATAAAAAAGAAACAAGAATAACAAGCTTCCAGTCAAATCTACTTAGTTTGATGAAAAACCCTCCAATTCTACAAAAGCCTGAAGAAAATGACCCTGATAAACAGTTTCTTCTTTCATTTCTACCTGAGTTTAAGAAAATGGATGAAAATCAAAAATTAGATTTTAAAATTGAATTTTCGCAACTAGTTAAACGGATTTTGAATCCCCCTCAGCTTCCAGTGGTGGAACCTCGCGCCCTTCATCAAAATGATTATATGTCTAATTTTCAAAATTCTTTTTACAACCAAAACTCTCTCCCGAACTTTCAAACTGCAGGTCTTCCTCAAATGGCACAAATACATAATTCTTCACTTCTCCCAACTTATCAGTCTCCTTCCAATACATATCATCAACAATTTATTCCGAATAATCAAATTGATATTGATATTCCACAAACATCTAACTCATCATTCAGGGAAAATTCACGTTAATTTAGTATACTAATAATTATTCATATGAATATTTTTATTTTTTAATTTAGGTATAATCTTTTATTTTTTTTTTTTTTTTAATTATACTATAAATTATTCGTTTTTTAGTATTACGTTTCTAAAATGTTAAAATGTATAATAATAATTCATACGAATATTTTTAATATTTAATGTAGGTAAAATCTTTAATTTTATCTTCATTTTTAACTATACAATAAACTATTCATTTTTTAACCTTATATAATCATACAATTTTAAAATGTATAGTAATAATTCATACCTTCAATTTTATTATTTTTATTTTTATATTTTATTTTACCTTTACCTTATTGTAAGAGTCAGTCTTTCCTCCGCTGAAACTGGATATCGGAATGTTGTAACTTTTTTCGTAATATGTGGACGCACCTGTTCCAAAAGTTCATCGAATGAAGTTATCGACATTCTATAGTACTCAAAAAATTTGAGTGGGTATTGTCTGATGTCTGCATAAAAATTAATGAAGCGTGCTTTTTCCTCTCTACTTTTATTAAAAGGATGAATCCAAAATTCTCTATCTCTTCTAGGAGGATTTAAATATCCAAACGATTCTGCCACTGCTATAACTTTCAAAGCATTCATGTAATAGTTATAATCCATCCTAAACACACGCAAATAAAAAATTTAATATAGTATATTTAATTTTTAAAGATTAATAAGGGTTAGTTAGGGCTAAGTAAATAATTATAGACATTAGAAATATATTTAAAATTAACTATTCATAATATATTAAAATGATTTTCCACATATTATATATTTTCGATACTAATTAAAGTAATTCAAATACTTACTTGAGAACCTTTTTTAGGAAAATCGATATTAAATTAACGTTTTAAAATTAAGTGTTTAAGTTACTTGTATTTTTTAAATTTTAAAACGAATGTTGAACAGTGATCAGCAAATCACATATTCAGCTATACTAAACACAACACATCTATTCTGATGACCAAAAAATGTGCAAATGATCGCGTTTTACCGCGTAGTGTGATAGTAACCAACCGCGCGTCAAATATAACGCGGTTCCAACCGCGCGGTGCAACCGCGATAGTGTGACGCGACCCTAAGAAAATAATTAAGAATATCACCGCTGACATCTTAGTGGTTTACCATCTCAGCTGTGTGCGCGTGACACGGGAATATTACATAACGCACAGTGATAAAAATAATACCATATAGCTGGTAGTAGGTATATACGAGTATACTCTATAGCTGCTGCAGGTAATGACGTGAAAACGCGTGTGACCTCGATTTAATTTCTTATCATACGCGATAAATCCAAGAGATCATATCTGCATCTGTATAGGCATATTGAACACACAGTGCAGGATTACAGCGCATTTTATGTATATAACGCGTAAATCATTTAATTCGATAAAAATCTTCGTGGATATCTGATAGTTGTGACCAAAAAAAAAAAAAAAATTCATAACTAGACCCGCACATTTCTGATGATGTACGTACTATATGTATACTTGTAAACCTTTCAAGTACTTATACTTGTACTCCGTGGTTATAGTCATATAAATATATCTCATAAACGTATATACATATATAAGATTTAAGTGGGTGTATACCGGTCAGCGAAAATTTTTCGAATAAACCACGAGCGTATAATGTACAACAGCGGCAGCTCGCGGGTTCGTTATGATATTATTATTTATTATTATTATTTCACGTCTGCCTATTATATATCTATAATGTGTTATTATTATACACGACTAAATATACTAAACGCAGCGTTTCGGCGCGGCGTCGACGCGACGATATTATAATGTACATGGTGGCGCATATTATATATATGCGCACACGTATACACCTAAATAATATAATAATAAAAACCCTAAATGCTACGTTGAAACGTGATGATCGTGACGCGTATATTATACATCTAAAATACGCGAAATATGTGTTGGAATGAAAAAAAATATATAAACCCATCGGACGCGTATAAATAATCATCGCATATATAAACTGTGCAGGGGTTTTGAAATTTTTTTTTTAAGCGCTTACGCGTTTTTCGATGTCAAACTATCTGTATATGACGTTTTGCCGGCACATTATAATAATATGATATCGTGCACATAACGTAATATAATATACTCGATACATGCGCGGACGAGGATGTGCGATGATTTTCGCGTTCGAATATATATATGTATATATATATTAAACGATTTACGAGCCATTGAAATAACGCGTACACACACGGCGGCGGACCAGTTATCTAAATGCATATGAAATATGTGTCTCTGCACTGTGTGTAATGATATTTTTTTTTTCGTGCAATAAAATATATTACGAAAAATATTGGGCGGGTAGGTATTATACATATATATATATATGGAGGTATTTTTTTTTTTTTTATCAATGAACCGCCGGAGCGGTGGATTAAACGTTTTTCGATACCCACGGAGACTTAAACGCCCGGCAACGCCAAAATATTACATAAAATTGATTTATCTGGCGGGCCGTGTGCGGTCCGACAGCGAAAATAAATGCGTCTCGGAAACGACGAGACGACCGCCGCGAAAAAAAAATAAAATAATACCCAGCCCGTGAATTATATATATATACACACACACATATCAAACATATGTTACCTACCACCAACTGGTTTTCGCGTTGTCTACCCCATTGCATCATGATGGTGCACACGGCGGTGGTGAACCATAAATTCCTTTTTCGGCAGAGAGCGTATATAATATTTTACGTTATGTATTATAATATTATAATAATTTGTTATGGCGTATGTTTATATATTTTATAAATGTTTATCATATATATAATATTATAAAAGTACCTATATATAATATGCGAGAAGCACGCATTCACGTGTGTAATATTATTGCACGTTTGAATGTTTTTCTGAATTTGATACAACGTCGACGAAAATATACATAACATAATTTTAGACGACATAATAATGTATCATATTCGACCATTGGTTTCACGGTAATATAGTTATCCACAGGTCGTTAGACGGTGCATTTTTCTTGCTGCGATGTTGCGTACGACCTCGTCAAAATGCTCAAGCTATGCAGCTATAGAATTCGATTTTCATATCGATGTATAATATTTTGTATTTAGGACGGGATAACTGCGTTTGGTGGCTGCATATCATCGAAACCAACACGTGTAGAAAATAACGCTTAATGTGATATAGGTAGTCTATAACATGATATAGCCACTCGTATTATACAATATAATATAAAATAATATGTATATGGCTACGACCGATTTTTCGATCGCGAACTAACACGCGGCCCATATTGAGTTATATATAGTAATAGGTGACCGGAGGGCTCGGCCACTCCGGTTTAGTTTCGATTATAATATTAATAAGCCCAGAAAAAAAATTCAAGGTCGAATGAAACATATTTTTAGGAACTTAAGCCACTATTAGTCGGATACATATTTCTATTTAATATATTATTAAAGGTAAATATATAGAACTATGATGCAACAACTATTTTCTTATTTTTTTTTTTATATTATTTTTATTCAGCTGAATAAACCTAGGTCTATTAGTTTTTTTAGGCGTAACTCTAGATATTAACGAATTCTGTTTGTTCGAACATACGATGCTGGAAACTTTGTAACAGCTTCAATTTTATCCGACTATTAATAGGTACCCGTAGGTATTATAATATAATATAATATGTACACATACTTTTCCCTCCGAATCAAAATACATACTATTCAAGATTATCATCTTAATTAATTTACCAATTAAATAAATTAAGGTTCATTACTTCAATGTGCTTGGACGTCATATAATATACGGTCACAATCCTAATACAAAATATGCATTATTATAATTATAATACAATTCTTACTTCTTAATAATATGCAGCTGCTATCTGACATCTATCACAATTATAGAATTCGATTACTATTAATTTACGTTCCTACTTCAGACAATTATGGGTACAATAATCATATTAACATAATATAAATTAAACATAATAGAATAATATTATAGACTATAATATTATATTGTATAGAGTAATGAGCACACGAACGGACGTTTGTAGTGATATTCATTATATGCATTACTTGTGTCAACAATACGAAATATATCAATAAAATCTAAATTTTACTGGATTGCGGTATATATAATATTGTACAATAGCGTCGGACCATCCTTATCGATGGAAAATGGAACAAAAACCGCGTTATGGGTTGTTTTCGGAGGCCACATGGCGACTTGGGGTTTTTGCCACGATGCGGTCACTGGGCTCCATCTGCCGCGTTTACATGGATGTTCGTATATCCATATGTATATAACATTCCGAATAACCCACCCCGATGCGACACAATGCTCGAGTACACATTCGCCAATTAAACATGCGCTATGCGTGCGAGGGGATAATAATAAAAAAAAACGAGAAAAATGTTAAGTGCATATTAACACCGAGGGAATATCTATTATTATTATTATTATTATTATTATTATTATTATTATTATTATTATTATTATTATTATTATTATTATTATTATTATTATTATTATTATTATTATTATTATTATTGTTATTATTATTATTACTATTATTCTGCATTATGTACAGTTTTTTTTTTTTTTTTCCCCGGTTGTGTGAAGAATAAATTACGAATAGTAGTTGATTCGCGTGAAATAACCAAATAACGAATGTATATGGGTCCGACAGTAATACGTCCGTCGCCGAGGGGTGAATGAATAAGTTAAGTATGACGCTAGTTTGCGTCACCACCACCGCCGTGGCACGTAAGGGAGGCTCGATTTTGAAAACACGGAAAAGGTTTCAACGTATCAGAAAATTAAAGGGCTATAATTTATTTTCCGTTTTAATTAATTACGCCGATTAGTTATCAGACCGTTGACGTGTTTCCTTTATAATCGCACGGTGATTTATGAACGATGATAATATCCAAATTGAATATACGCACTCGATTAACTATACCGTTGTATTAACACCTATTCGCGTGTGTCGTTTCGCTTTGTAAGCAAGCTGCAGTATATAATGTACAATAGTATACTTAATTATGTTTCATAAAATAATATTATGGTTTAAATAGGTTTTATGATATATATATTGATTGTGCACAATACCGTTTTATAATGGAAAAATCATATTATTTTATTCTGCTAATATTATAATAGTGATTTATAAAATTGAAAGAAGGGCTCGTGTTGTAGACACCTAACTATAATGGTTAATAACCACTGAAATGTTTTTCATAACAGCATAAAAAGTTTGGATAATATATCATAAAAATAAGATATTTTGTCTTAGACAATCGATTCGTCCGATCAGAAACATAAGGGGGTACTATGACGAGAAAAAAATCTCCTTCCGTCATAATATAAATACATTTTTAGGAAATTATGGATACCAATAATATTGCACTATCGATCGATGTAATATAATTTACAAAGTTACCTACACCCATCCCTATACTCTAAAATGGAAAATTTTTATTAAGTCCGCTACTACAGTTGCTGCAGTAGATCGATCGCTTCGGGTTGAAATATCTCAACGCTATTGACACGATCACGCTCGAACTATTTTATAGTGATATGTATAATGACGTAATATTATAACAAACACACATTGAAC